CTGGCCAAGCGGAGCTCCCCTGTTCCTTTCCAGCATAGGAGAAAAGGGGAAACTAGTTTGTCTGAAGAGTTTTATGAAGCTCCTATTGCTCTTTATTTTCTCAAATTTTAATACTCTGCATCCTGCCCATGGCAAGTACAGAATAACAGATGAGGAGATCTGGATGGTGTTGGATTCTATATCGTGCCTTACTTCTGTTCATGGTGTCTTTGTCCTTGCTCTCCTTATAACTGGTAAAGTTATTCTTGCCCTCTGTAGAGACCAAACAGAACAAACTGTCAGTTTTGTATGCCTTCTGTGTGTCTTCATCTGATGGTTCATATATTTTAGTAGAGACCTCCAAAGTTGTTGATGGTTATCTCCCCTATAGCTTAACACAAACTTCATAAGACCTGAGGCTTGCGTTTTCTTTCATTGTAAGTGTTCTCCAATCCTCTCATCATCATTTTTTGTTTTATTGGAAGTCCTTATTACATATCATATTGCATTTAAGCTTTCCTCCTTTTCAAGGCATTGTATGTCTCCACCATCCACCCTGCCAGCAAGACCAACAGTTTGGTTCCTTTTCCCACTACCACATCCATGTGATTTCCAAATGTTTTTGAGGCAGGGCATTTGTAACCCCAGGGTCAGCCCAGTATTGTTAGCAACAGGCGGGTAGTGACCCAGTTTGAAGCCAGCACGTGGAGGCAATGGTGCTCCTTTTTGGCTCAGAAGTGGGTGTATTTTTAGTCCATGAAATTATGTGCATCATTACTGTGAACTATTTACGCATTTCAGTGAGCATTTATATATATTTTTGAGACACTTTACACAGTAATGTGTTCTAACTACTGCTTACATCAGGGGTCCTTAGCTATTTGTTCTGTGTGCCTCATAAGCATTTATTTGATTTCCGCACTTGGGGTTTCTGCAGTCTGTTTCATATAGGCTTTAGGACCTTCTGGACTCTTAGATAGTCAGAGATTAGATTTCTCTAATCTTCTTTTAAAGAGGCATAATGTGTTTATCTGAGATTGATAGAACGAGCAAAGGAAAATTAGAGTTTTTATTCAGTGATGTTCTCAGGTTGCTGATTAAGCTGCTATAAGAAGGAGATAAGTTGGGTTAGTTATTAACCGTGGTTTATTGCATCACAAGAGTTCTGGTTTCTCGGGCGATTTTTTTTACTGTTTTCTTTTTATGAGGACTAATCCAAAATTAGGTACTCCTTCCGATGACCTTCTTTTTACAATATTGAGTGAGGAGAACATACCACACTGCTTATTGAGAAGGATGCAGAATCAGTAAAACCATACAACAGAGAAGATACAAACGGCATTTTGTCTAATCCTTCCAAAATACGGCCATCTCTGCATCAATGCTACAGTGTTCTTCCCAAAGTTACATGAGGGTTGTTAATGCCTCAGAAATTGGTGTGCACGTAATACATCTGAAAGACTTCAGAAGCATCATGATGACCAGTGAAATGTTCTTACAGCAGGTCCACTACTCTTGCGTGTTGGGAAAATGATAGGTGGCCTTTTTGTTACATTACAGAAAACATGTATGATTGGTGTGACTTGTCTATCAGCTTTCTTATTTACAGTTGTAAAAATGATGAGTCCTTTGGAAACTGGAAAAGCCTATTACAATCCAGGAACTCCCTGACTTGTAACATACTGTAATGATTCATAAGTGCTATTCTTTTTGTCTTGTTTAATACTTAATCACATCCCCAAATAATCCATGTGACAGTGCTGTTCACAGGAATGGAGTCATAATAAAAGTATAGTGTTTTCTTACGATAATTTTCTCAGATTTGCTTATTCATGCAGAAGGATCAGATGCATCCTAAGCTTGCTTCTTACGTGGGTATAATACATACAGAAATAATATTTTTATCACTTCTGTTTTACTGCATCTCTATCTTAGTTTCATTACATCTTGTATTGCTTCTATTTTTCCTCTTTATATTTTATATTCCATAAGAACCAAGCTCTTGGTGTTATTTGAGCAAATTCCCTTTTAGGACAGCTATATTGTTCCGTCCACAAAATCTCAGCGATGCATATTTCTTCTCATCTGGTTGTGCAGGTAGTTGCATATTCCATTCCTATGAACTGTGATCCATCTCTTGAAGTGTACCTGTTTAGTAAGCAAAGCAGTAGCCGTAAGGATAGTTCTCTGTCTTCTCTGTTTCCTTTGAAATTTGTATTTTGGATCTTTTTTTTTTTCCTTAGAGCTAAAGGACAGAATATAGAAAAAAAAATAATCTGTACCAAAAAAAAAATCCTTTTCCCATATTTTTACCAAGCTCATGAATACACTTCATGTGTATTCAAAAGTATTTAAAGTGTTCCTTTCTCACTGTTACCTATGAAATTTTACCACATAATCTGCTTATTTGCAGGTGAAGTGGGTTAAGCTCAAGTCATGCAGAGGAGTATGTGAAAAACATACATTGCTCATTGTTTAACTTGTCTTGGTTTGGTTTTTTTTCACTCTGGATTCTATGTGGAAGATATCTTCGTATTACTAGGATGGAAAACAGCACATTTAGTCAGTTTTATAAATGATTAGGTATTTTTTCACTGTACTTTGTCCATCAAATAGATATTTTATATTTAGCATTTATGTTAGCTATTCCAGCTTAGCTGCAAGATTTTCTTTTGTAAGTGCTTTATTTGCTCAAATATGTAATTTCATCTGTTCCAAAATTACTTTTAACTTTTACATAGGGTAAAATCACACTTCCATTGTAAATTGCCACTATGAAATGCATAAAAAGTCCTTTTTACATAAAGGCAACTGTAAGGATAATGGTGTTGCCAAGTGACATGACTTCATCCTGAAACTGGGAATCTTCTAAAAACTTCCTGGTGACTACATTATTTCCATGCAGTATTTTCTCCTTTCCCACCTCTAGGGTTTTATACATTCATATATACATATATATGGACATTCACATTTACCTGATTAAAGCATATCCCATTTCTCTATAAAATGTGAACGCAAAAGTTAAGTGAGGTCTACAGCCTCCATCGTCTGCACTTTAAGGAAGCTGTCCAGACTAATTGGTAGGTAGGTGGTAAGTGACTTGAGGATGACTGGGAGGAAACAGAAAAACACAGCTGAATGAAGTTGGTGGAAAGGAAAGAACATACAAAGGGAAGAGTTGGAATGAGGAGGCTGCAGAAGCAGAAGCAGCAATGTGGAGGGATCTGAAGAAGAAGAGGAGGCAGACAGAGGAAGGTCCATGAGAATATGAAAAGCAGGACAAAATATAGGAGGCTCATGGGAGAAATAAGCAAAATAAGGCAGCAGAGAAAGAAGGACAAGTTGGGAAGCAATTTATATAACAGTTTTCTTTCAGAAGATGTTGAGAACATAAAACCCAAATATTTTCTTAGATTTTGTCCTTTTTGTTCTGTTTTGTCACATATAATGTTTTATTCTTGGCTAGATTAGTCTCTGCACTTAACAGTCTTCTTGCTAAGAGGACATTTTAAATAGATCCGTATTTATTCACTTAAGCAAATGTGAATTGCTGGCTTCACCTGGCTGCATCTGTGCATTGAATGCTATGTAGATAAAGACCACGGACAACTTGGCCCAGGCTTTTGTCTCCACCCAGCAGGTGGCCAAGCAGAGCACCACTGACTTCCATACCACTTTGAGGACAGCTACCATTCTAGATCTTAAATGACTGAATTAAGTTGAGATATTTCTGTATGAGTAGATTTTGCTAGTTGTTTCCTTTTGTTTAAAATGTTTGATCTCAACAGAGCTTTTCTCTATATCTAAATCTGAAGTATTCCTGTGTTTTCTACAGCCTTTTCTGCCTCTATTTTTTTTTTTTTTCTAGTTTTCTTTTATTTCTCTAGAAACCTGTGTCATGGGGGAAGAACACAGTGCATAATGAAGGGGAAACTAACCCCTTCCGGAAAAGGAGTTAGTTTTGTATTTTCAGCATTTGTAGTGCATCCCCAGTGACAAAGCACTAAATGCATTGAAAGGTCTGTGCAGTAACATGTGATGTATCTGGGAGTAAAACTGGCATAGAGGGTGGTGGCAGCTCGGAGCAGAGAAGGATGAAACATTAGCATCTGCAAGGGAGGTGGTTTCAGATTTGATCACAACCTTGCAAAGGAGATGAAGCTGCACCTATGACAGCTGAGTGATTTAGTTTCAGAGGATCATTCTTGATGATATAGGTGGTAGCATGAAAAACTCATCAAAAACAAGGAAAGGAGAAAGGGAGAACATAAAGAGACTCATTAAATTAGGAAAAAAAAAAAAAAAGACTTCTAGACCTTTAGTTTTAAGTCCTAATTTACTTTTTTTCAGAATGGAAAGTTCTATAATTTTATTGGGTCACTCTGGACAACATTAGATTATTTTGAAAAGCTGCATGAAATGACCAAAGTCATTTAAGTAGACTTCATTGAAATGTCTGTTAGGTGGAGATGGCCTTAAAATTTAAAGCACAAAAACCTACGTTCTTTCCCAAACTTAACTTACTTTTTCATGTTGTAAGTCTAGATATTGTCATCTAGATGTTCAGTGTCCAACCCATTCTTGTAATCTGACATTCGAGAAAAAGCATTTTTTTTGCAGTGTTGATAACATCAAATTTTATTTTTTTTTTTTTTAATATTATGAAATGGTACTTGTGCTCATTGTGCTGCACAGGGAAGAGAAGGTTCTCAGTCTGTGGACATAACAGGCTATATATTGAGGTTGTATTTATATGTGTATTTATGTATAGTTTAGCATATATGTATATATACACACTAGATAGTGTGTATTTGTGTATGTATAAACATAAATATATACACACAATCTCATGCATGTCAGAATAGTCCTTCAATCTCACAGTGCATGCTGACACACTTCAACATTTCATTCTGTGTTAAGATATCTGTGAATCTCAGTCAATGTCAATTAAGACAAGTATTTACAGGGGAAAGCAACTACTCGTTGATTAATTCTTTTGTTACTTTACTCTTACTTTACAGGCCAAAGTTCAAAAAACATCAGTTCATCTCCAAGCATAGAGAGCTTGTCTGGAGGACGTGAATTTACAGGATCTCCACCTTTGTCTGCATCCAAAAAGGATTCCTTTTTCAGCTCGATCTCCCGCTCCCGTTCGCAAAGCAAAACCATGAGCAGAAAAGAATCGGTAGGTTCTTTAACATTTTAAGTTATTCTAATGTCACACTGCATTACTTGTTAGAGGCAATCATTTCATCCATTCATTAAGCACTTGCACTCAGAAATGTTTCCCTAAGCACACATTAATGGCAAATGCAGAAATAAGGTATTTCAACTGTTTCTGTTGAGTAACGCCTTCATTATTGCTTCCATCCCACAATCCTACCTAAAATGAAACTGTGAAAGTGCCTGTTGCCTCTGAGAAAAAGAAGTCCTGTAAGTTTGTTTGCTTTGTTAGACTTGGTGTAGCCCTGAAATTAATAAACAGTTCAGTAGGAAGCGTGAATGCTCAGCAGATCCAGGCACGTCCATCTGTTACCCCTGAAATTCCTTAATACATCAGAGGTTTCCCAGTGTCTGTAGCATCTGTAGTCTGCAGTCACAGTTCTATTTCTTGCACAGCTCTGACCTTCCATTTGGCCACAAGAAGCTATTATTTAACAGATTGTTCTCATCCAAGAAAATTGGCTCGTACCATGGGGGTGTGTGTGTGTGTGTGTTCAAAGAAATTCTCATCCCAACAGAGATATTTTAGGAGCACTACTTTGATAACTCTCATATACTGTGAAGTAGGAGCATTCTTGTTTATTTTACGTTTCCGATTGTCTTTCTGCTGATTCAAAACCAGTTACATAGTAGACTGAAAAAATTGTCTCTTTTGTAAGGTGAAGGCATAGTTATTTTCTCTAATCCACTTTCACAAATGTATGCTCAGATAACTTCCTATTGATTTCAGTAAATAGAAATTGTAATACCAATATTTCTATATTACAACATCCTTCATGTGTTCAGAGCTAAATACTGTGCTGAAATTTGATCTGAACATCTCACCATTTTTGTTTTTAAACAGCAAAATCTTTATTAATAGTCATATTTTCAGTTTGATATTTAAAATGTTTGAATGAAATGCATAATGTTGCACAACTTTGTTCCGTTTTTGTTCACTGGAAGAGAAGCTTTAATTCTTGTTCCACATGCCTTAATGTTGTCTGAAGAAAAGCTGTATTTTTGTGGTTAGTCAACAAGAAGCTGTAATTTTGGTTTGTGTCCATTTAAGACATATCAAGTTGAATTTAAAGCTAAAACAACTTAATATCTCTCTGCTTGTCCTCATGAGCTGAAACAAAATAAGTACACCAATATTGAAGTTTTCTTTTTATGTGGTTTAACAAGATCTAAATCCAGCTTTCATTTGCAACTTTTGTCCAGGCCAGAACTTGGGGGTTTTGAATGAGTAGAGCGTAAGAATAATTCTTCCTTCGCTCTCTAATAGGAGACATAGCAGAATTTGCCATTATAATATTCACACTCAGTTAGAATCCATTGATGATTAACATGTTTTTTAGGTAAATAATTTCCTAAATTTGTGGTATTTTGTTAATTTTTTTTCAAAGATTTTGGACAAAGAAGTATTCATTGAAACAGATTTGTAGCCTTTATGGTAGTTTTTGTTAGATTGTTAATTGTAATAAACCAAGCAGAGTGTAAATTTTCAAAAGGATTCTCTGAACTGTGATATACAATGTATATTGTAACATTTTATGATTAAACAGCTAGAAAAGGTTTAAGGCTTCCAAACTCTGTATCCTTATGTTCAGTTTTTGACTTTAGGAAAAAGGAGTTTGTAGCAGCTCCAAGAGGAACAGGTTTGTTTAAATCTGTTCTCTAATGCTCAAGATAATGTTTGGGTTTTGTTTTCCTGTATATTTCATGGTACCTTGTTTTCCATGTTGAGAAGAAAACCCCAAAGAGTTCATCCAGAGGTCCCAAAATAGTTGCATCAGAATTCTCCCAACTTGCCATTGCTTCATTTACAGCTGTTTTCTACAGGCAAAAGAAGGCTTGAAAATATGATAGATTCACATCTTTGTTTTATTTTTAGTACTGAACTGGTTTTCTTTTTTACTCTAATAATTATACAGATTATCTTCTTAAGTACTGGGGAAATTACCTGTGTTGGAACACAACCACACATCAGTCACTATAAAAAGATGGATTTTAAATCAGTTATTCTTGGTGCAGTGAATGAAAGCGAATCCATTTCCCTTTCATCTTTGTAATTCTAATTAATGCCCTTCCCAAGCAAAGCAGAAATGGAATACATACAGAAAAATACATCCTTCAACATGAAGTTTAAAAAAGTGATTTTCACAGACCAGAGGACATTACTGTAACATTGCCATGAGATGAACAGGACTGTCATCATTGCAGGTCACACTTGGAGTACTGGGCTCCCCAGTACAAGAGAGATATGGACATACTGGAGAGAGTTCAACAAAGGGCCACAAAGGTCGTGAAGGGACTGTGGCATCTCTCCCATGAGGAAAGACTGAGAGATCTGGGCCTGTTCAGCCTAGAGAAGTGTCAGGGGGATCTCATCAATGTGTATAAACATGTCAAGAGAGGGTGCAGAGAGGATGGAGCCAGGGTTTTTTCAGTGATGCCCAGTGATAGAACCAGAGGCAGTGGATGCAAACAGAAATTTAGGAGGCTCTGTCTGAACATCAAGAAACACCTTTTAACTGTGAGGGTGACTGAGCAGTGGCACAGGTTACCCAAGGAGGTTATGGAGACTCCATCCTTGGAGATATTCAGAAGCTGCTTGGACACAGCCCTGGGCATCCTTCTCTAGGTGGCCCTGCTTGAGGTGGTTTGGGCAAGATGAGCTTCAGCAGTCCCTTCCAACCACAAGCATTCTGGAATTCTGTGACAGGATAAACTGGAATGTGTCTTGTCTAAATTGTTGCTTTCTTGAAGTTGGTCCAACAAGCTGGACTTTCTCTGGAAGAGCTGTGATCAAAATTAACACTTAACTTGATTCATTACCACCAGAAATAGGATGTGTCCATTTCTCATATTAAGAACTTCGTAAGGTAGTGACATTGACATTACATTTAGCCTTCTAGATGTTGTTTTCCTCTCAAATGCAAAGATCAATGGGATGACTTTTTTTACTGCTGTTGCCAGAAACAGATGTCCCCAGTTTTATTTAGTTAAGGAAGTGAATCTACAGCCTCAGGGCTGAATGCACAATATCAGACCACATTTTGGCAAACCACGACAGCCTGCTGTTTTTCATGTTGCTATTGAGCAGCACTCAGCTGTATGTTAACGTGAGGCCCACCAAATGTGTCTGAAAGTCTGGTTTGTGCTTAGCAAGAAGACAGCTCCCTACCCCTTTATGTACTTGGTGGCTTTCTGACAGCAATAACTTAGGTTTCATTTTTTGGAGGTGTCTTGCAATAAATGAGAGCGGGAGCGTTTAATACATAGCATACTCTAGTGCCCATTA